TGAGGGGGACGTGCAGGGGGGCCGGCAGGGGGGGGATCCGGGGCCCGCTCCAGGCAAAGCCAGGGAGAGACCCAGCCCTGCACAGCGCTGGAGCGGGGCCCGGCTCTTAACTCGCCGTCACTTCCGGGTGCAGGGACATGGGGCCCGGTTCGACCGATGGGGCCAATTGGTGTAAGGGCGGCAGCCGCCAGGCACGCTGGGGACCGGCATTTTTTTTTTCTGAGGCCCGGTAGCGGCCGCGGACCATAGTTTGGGAAATGCTGCTCTAGACCTGCCTAAGGAAGCGTCATGGGAGCAGATATCTTGGAAGCCAGTGACACTTGCTCCCTCAAGGGCTACTAAATGCCCCACTTGTGGAGATAAGATTAACATCTACACAGAACAGGGCATTCTCAGCTTTTGCTCCCAGGCTGTGAAATTCTCTTCCTTGGGATATTCGCATAGCGCCAACGCTAGCGTTTCAGCGTCAGGCTAAAGCCACCTTTTTTCCTCATGATTTTAATGTTTGAGTCTGTATGTGTGTGTTCTTCCTCTCTTTATGTTTTTAGCTGGTTATGTCCCTCTGGGGTCTCATATTTTAAATTCTCATATTTTAAATTTTTATATATATTTGTATTTTTGTTTTTGTAAGCCACCTTGAATATTTTAAATAGAAAGGCAGGGTAAAAATATTTAAATAAATAAATATAAATAAGATAACGGAAGGTAAGAAACCTAGACCAACATTTTTTAAGTCTAGGTACCTAAAAGAGTGGGCTAATTTTCAGAAGAGCTGTATGCCTACAGATATTAAATTATAAGCAAGTGTCTTAGATGTTAGGTTCCTTAGATGTTAAATTATAAGCAACTGCCTTTTTGGAACCCATGTTTTTAAATGTTGGTAGTCACTCTTTGCTGCTAAACAGTCCATGGAAATCCATGCAGAAAATACCATCTGTGCTGCTGAATGTGCTAGCTTTGTCCTCATTCAACCAATCCCAGTTGATGGATGGCATCATGGCAGGTGTGGTGAAGTAGCAGCAAAAGGGTTAAATAGTCTATTCATCATTGTGCCTCTCCTTAGCTCCACATTATGAGATGAGAGAAGATTGGTATGCTTGATGCAATACTAGTTTTATTATATCTGAACAAGAAAAGAAGTTATACAGTGAGCTTTCGCTGTATTATCAGGCTCTGCATTAATCAAAAAAAGCAAACCTAAACCAAATAAACACATACACAAAAGCAGTTTCTTTTCCATGGGCAGTGGAGACAGTATTAGCTTTTGGAGGTAACTAAATAGCTGCTGGAAAAAATCATACGGTAAGCTCTCCACCTGATTATTTTATGATTCACGTCTGCAGGAGAATAGTATTTAACATTTACATAACTTTAGAAAATGAGTCCTTTTATTTGTGAGCTTTTTTATATGTTCTGTTCATAAATCCTGTTCCATCAAATTCATCATAGTGTTCTTGATCGGTGTTTCAGGATTTTTGTTAGAAAGGCAAAGTGGGTAAGATAATATCTTTTAGTCACAAAGAAGAATGTACAACTCACAGAAAATGAATACTCCTGTGGCACCATAGGGTACGTCTAGACTGCAAGCTTCTTTTGAAAGAAGCTTTTTCGAAAGAGCTCTTTCGAACAAGTTTCTTTTGAAAGAGAGGATCCACACCTCAAAACTGGATCGAAAAAGCGATCTGTTTCTTCGAAAGAGAGCATCCAGAATGCATGGATGCACTCTCGAAAGAAAGCCCTGATTGCTATTCACAGAATGGCCACCAGGGCACCTGTGCTTTTTTCAATTACAGGCAGTCCCCGGGTTACGTACAAGATAGGGACTGTAGGTTTGTTCTTAAGTTGAATCTGTATGTAAGTCGGAACTGGCGTCCAGATTCAGCCGCTGCTGAAACTGATCAGTTTCAACAGCGGCGGATGCACTCTCGAAAGAAAGCCCTGATTGCTATTCACAGAATGGCCACCAGGGCACCTGTGCTTTTTTCAATTACAGGCAGTCCCCGGGTTACGTACAAGATAGGGACTGTAGGTTTGTTCTTAAGTTGAATCTGTATGTAAGTCGGAACTGGCGTCCAGATTCAGCCGCTGCTGAAACTGATCAGTTTCAACAGCGGC